TTATATGTTGAAAGTATATATTCATGCTGCAGGAGAGCGGCTTGGAAAGCAATTGTGATATGCTTTGAAATACTTATTTCAGCAAGATTTTCCTGTTATTTGACTCAATGAACTGAAAAAGAAAAGAAGAGAAATAGGTTGTTCTAAGAGCTATTTTATTTATTCCTCTTATTTCCCTATTTGACCAAGTTTTCTTGCAAACTCCGTTGTAGGTTCAAGTTTCTTGGAGTAGACAGAACCTTGGTTGAAGCTGCTCTTCAGTAAGGAGGAGGGATTAAACTGCCCCCTTCCTAATTGCTTTCTGAAGCCCTCCCTTCTTCCTAATCTCACTGTAGTTTCTTAAGAAACGAGGCACTTACATATCCCCAGGGGTTAAATGGAGATTTCTGCTGCAGAGGGTAAAGTAGAGCGTTTGCTGCATTCATCACTGAATAACATCAATCACACATCCACTTGGGCAGTTAAATTTCTGTTGAACAAAGTACAGAAGTACCTGGGGAATGTCTCCCTCTTTGTAAGTGGTGTCATTAGACATCTGTCATGAAGGCCCTGTGAAAATAGACTTGGGGCTGCAAACAAAGTCATTTTAACACGGACACGATGCTAGGCACACACTGGTAATATTCTATAAAAGTTATCGAGTAAATTAAATTTCAAAATAGATTATTGTACCAACTCCCTAAACAGACTATGTAATTAATTACCTTTTATCCAAACTTGTGCGCTTATTGCAGCAAGAATTATCTTCCTTAAGCACCATTTTGATGTTTCAAGCTCATTTTCAGAAATTATAATCGGTTTGAATTTCTGCTCACATAAAATCTGCATTGCTGATCCATGTTGAAAGGTTTTCTAACAATTGGTTCCCTTCTACCTGATTTCCCTGAAAAAAATGATCATACCCTCAGTTATCTTTGCTAGCCCAGAACACAGGTGAATCTGCCTCGTAATGTGCTTTCTGCATCCAGATGCTGCTCCTGCCACCTCCCCGGCCTCCCACCCCCTCCTTCACCCTTCCAGACCAATCCCATTCTGTTCCTACCACCACCTGTCATTCCAGCCAGCCTGGCAGAATGTAAGTACAGAGCAGTGTATTCACAGTGATAACTCGCAGAGTTTTATTTCTCTTTTACACAACTCCCTATCAATCTAATGCAGTCTTAATGATCTTTACTGGGATATAAGCCCATTGGAGGCAAAGGTGGCTTCTATGACTTCGCCCCCCTCACCGAAATGATTAACATTTGCAAGAGGCTTCATGACCTAGTTAGTTTCAAAGGTATGATAACATCTCAGGAAAAGATCAAAGTGGTTTCATTTAAAAAATTTTAAAAATCATATTGATGGGTAATATCCATATCAGGTTGAGTCAATAAAGAAAGTGTCAAATATTTGCACATCAATCTAACACTAGAATAAAATTCAAATAAAACGTTCAATTCTTGTAGGTTTATGTTATTTAGTCTTTCCCTATAATATTAATAAAAAGTGTTCTGAAGGCTATCATGAGAAAATTTTAAGAAGTGTATTAGGGAGGATGTGTCATGTCAGTTTTCATGCAAATATTTAAAAGTGATAATAATTAAAGATAGGGCACTGGTAGAGTAATAGATATGTAGGTGAACAGAATGTAACTGAGACTTAAATAATGATCTGTGTACATAAGGGTGATTTAGTTCTCCCTAGGGAAAGCATTTTGTGTTGGAGGGATAAAGGATGATTTATTCAATAAAGATTGAGACATTTGATTAACTATTTGGAAAAGTAAACATTTGGATCCCTATAAATGCTAGCTAGATTAACAATTTGAAAGTAAGTCAAATTAAAAAAAAACACCTAAAAGTATTGGTGAATATTTAGGCAGATATTTCTATAATCTATAAGAACCTAAGAGAAGTGTCTAAAAATAATCCCAAAGACAGAAAATAAAGAGGAAGAAAAATCCTGATGAAGTTTAAAATTTCTGCATAAAAATATCATAAATGATGTTCAACAGAATAAACTGAAGAAAATATTTATAATGTGTAAAGCATATGTGTATTATAAATATTTGCCTTGATAGAAAAATGAGCAAGGAACTTTTAAAAAGCAACAGAAAAAGAATAAACACACATGGCGAACAATTTTTTAAAAATATTAACCATTCTAGTAATCAAGAAAGACTACCTAGTTGGCAAAGATTGGAAAGAATGGTACCTAGTGTGAGAATGGACATGGAAAAATGGAGCACGTTATGTACTTCTCATGGGAGTGTCATGTTGTACGGTCCTATGGAGTGAAATTTGGGAATACATCTCAAAAACCCTTCAAAGCATATAAGCAGGAAAATATATGTATACAGGACTGGTTATAACAGCTGGTCATTATAGCAAAATATTTGGTGAAAACACGTTATTCGGGAAAATCTCAAATAACAATAGCTAAAGAAGGTAGAAATTTATTTTTTTCTGTGAAATAAAATTCTGAGATAAGTAGTCCAGAGCTAACATTGCAAGTTCATGACCAACAGTGACCCGGGTCCCTTCTATCCTTGCGTCTACAATCTCTTCAACATGAAGATTGTACCTTATGGCCCAAGATTGTTATTTGCTAACCAAGCATCTCATCCACACTCTGGCCCGTGGGAAGATGTGAAGAAGAAAGGCACAGTTTTTTGTTTTTTTTTTAAAGATAGTTACTGGAAGGTAAATATAGCATAACAAAGGAAATTGGGAAATAAAGCCTTTATTCCAAACAGCACCTGCCTAGCTAAAAACAAGGAGTCTTGTTACTAAGGAAAAAGGAAAGAAGAGTATTAGTGGCTAATGTTCAGTTTCTGCCATGCAACCAAATTGTCCACTTTTCCAAAATTTTGAAATATCATATTGATGGGTCATAGCAATAGCATATTTCGAGTCAATAATGAGTGTCAAATATTTCATAAATGATTCAACAGCAGATACACTGTGGTACATTCAGACAATGGAATACTATAAAACTGTTAAAATGCTGATATAGATCTATAATTATTAACACAAAAGGAAATGCACAATCTATTATTAAATGCCAAAAGCAGTTCATAAAATAGTTTTTATAATATGATCCTAATATCTCTTATTTATCAATCTAGTTGCCCTTTTATTTATATCTATCTATCTACCTGTCTACTTTGAGGTGCTTTTTAGTTTCTAAAATAATAGAATTTCTAAGTTATCGTGTTTTTAAATGTCTGACTATATTGCAATGCAACATAAAATGAGTACTTGGAATTTGTTGTCAAGGTGGTTACTCTCTAGTAACCATCTCTTTCCTCTGATTACTGGTGGCAGCATTCTACACATCTCCATTGACAAAGCTTATTAATTGTGCTGTTCAAGACACTTTCTACTTTCCAATTATTTATAGGCTTTCTATTTCAGTTTCTGAGAGAGGTGTGTTAAAAACACCCATCATGGTTGGGGGGTATAATAATGCTATTAGTATATATGGAGGTCTGTCCAGAAGGTATCCAGCCACGTAATATGAAAAATAGAGACATTTATTCAAGAAGATATGAGATACAAGAAGCATTGTACACAGGACAATGACACCTCAATCCCCTTCAGTGTAGGCTCCTTGGGACCACACACAGTTCGATTTGAATCAAGTCATCAGCAACTGCAGCATGTGTTGTTTCTGCTCTAGTAGCAGAAGCCAAGGAACGTATTTTGCCATGACACGTTTCATGCCAAGATCCTGTGTCAAAATCTCAGACACAGCAGTGTTTGGAATCCCCAGATCAGCTTCTGGTTCTTGCACTGTGAGTCTCCAATGTTTGTTGATTGGGGTCCATACACGTTCAACCATGTCAGGCGTCCTGCTGGCTGCAGGCCTTCCAGATCATGGATCACTTCCTATCAACTCCTGTCCATATTCGAAGTGTTTGTGCCACACTTTTATTTGCACTGCAGCGCTCATTGCATCATCCCAAAAAGCCCTCTGAATCTACCAAATAGTTTCTGTGGAGGGATGTTCCAGCTTAATGCAAAATTTGATGCAGATTCTTTGCTCTACTTGCTCAGTCATTTTGAATGTGACGGCCACACAGTGCACATGCTCACTCAACAGCATCTACCGCCCCCACTGACGAGTACAGTAGAGTTGTCATTGTTCACACATGTGCATTCCAGTCCACTGTCTTTGGTTACCAGGTTATGTTGATGTCATGCAAACCATTCTTGTTATATTAACAAATGGCTGGACTTTTCCCAGACAGACCTCTTATATCATTATTTGTCTTTATACAATTTCAAGACTATGTTTTTGGATGCATGCAAGTTCAGGATTATTATATTTTCTTGATAATTGTTATTATTTATCATTAGATAATTGTCCTTCTTGTACCTAATACTGTCACCCTAAATTCTGTTTCTTCTAATTAATATTGCCTTTCTATCTTTATTTGTTTATTTTTAACCTGTAATATTTTTTTCCCATAATTTTCTTTCAAATATGAGGGGTCATTGTCATTTATGCTTGCAAAGGTCATATAGATAGAATTTGTGTTTCTATTCAGATAATTTCTATTGGATTTATTTCTGCCATGTTATTTTAGTTTTTGTGTTTGCCACATTTTTTTCTTACTATTTGGGGTTTTTGTTCTTGTTTCCTTTGAGTCTGATTTTGTTCTTCCCCACCCCTGTAGTATTTAGGAAGATATATATTCTCTTTCTTTGGATGGTTGCCCTTAAGTCTGAATATACCAGGCTACGATGGAGGTAATCGGTATCTCTTATTGTCTCTTCTCCCATGGTCTGTTTATTACTTTCCTCTGTTTTTAAACACCTCCCCAAATTAGCCTTTATTATTTAGGGTTGTAAGGTATCTCATCCATAGCCCTTCTCTTCCTCTCTGGATTCAGAACCAGTACAGAGAAAGAAGAGGGATAGAATTGGGAATAAGAGACTGAAAGTCAAAATATAATATTAGCTTTATTTCAGATAGATATGATTGGAGAAAGTGATCTTACAAATACGTCATTCCTGAATGAGATGGACTTCGCCCCTGACGGCTCAGTGAGGCAACCGCAGGTCTCCCTCATGAGGCTGGTGGCTCTCGACCTGGACACAGGCAGACCAGAATGCTCCTCTTCCTCATCTGGGGCAGGCAGCTCTGCAGGAGAGAGAGTAGCAAGGGCTGAGCCAAGCATGGAGAGCTCTTCCTCCATGCCTTTCTGTGGCTGGCTAAGGGTGCAGAGAGAAGTGAAGAGTGTTTTTATGGGGCCACTTGTGGAGATTGAAGTAGAACTTTCCTTCTTTCTATGGACATAGGCGTGGCAAGTAAGTGTCCTCTGACAATTATTACTATTATTGCTGTTTTGTTAATGCTGTTTCCTATATTCCCTGCTTATGGTGAATCAACCATGTACCTAAAATTTTAACTTCAGGACTTTTAACTGGTTGGACCTTCCCAGGGCACTGAAACCAGGAGGAAGCAGCAGCCCCAGCAGAGTTAGAGGAAGGGAGCCCTGCTAGCCTGGAGGTCATGCTTCTTGTCTGGTGGTGTCTCGGAGCTGCAGGAGAGGGGGTGACACTGGGCTCCAGTCCCCATTGACAACCTGCCCTCCACGAGCCTCGTGGAGCACCAGCATCTTCCCCGAAGAGAAGAATGAGGCTGAGACACTGTTCCACTCTCGGCCTGAGGGCCATGTGACTTGCTTGGCACACAGCACTGCTGAGAACTGCCAGGCAGGGAGTGGGCGGGACGCCAGGTGTGGTGAAACCCAGCTGACCTTGATCAGCTCGCTGGGACGGTGAGATCAAAGGGCTGGCGTCATCTGAAGTCTCCCCCCAATGCCAACAGCAAACGAGAAGCTAAGCTAAACTTCTCTAAATGATGGCTGGCATTTTTTTTTTAAACAGAACAAATTTTGACCAACCATGTTAGAAGACTGATTTCTCTTTCTACTTCTTTATATAGTATATTTAAAAATCATTTTCACGTGGAGAGGTGAGCAAAGAGTATGCAGGCAAGAAATGTAGGGAAAAAATGTATTATAGAGGAGGTGAAATTATGATGAAAATAATTAAAAGACTGTATTATATTCCTGAATTTTGTGAGATTGGGTAGCATTTAGCCACAATTTTAAATTTTATTTGTTGTGATTTCTATTCTTATTCAAAGGAAACATAAATTTTTGTACTTAATTTCTTATTATACTTTTCTTAGAAAGGGTTTCCCAGATTATAAAGCTGTACGTCCCACAAAACCGGGGCCCACTCTGGTTTTTTGTTTTGTTTTGTTTTACAAATACGTTTGCTACTCGTATTTGTTTTGCAAATACTTCCCTCTGCTCCTCGTCTCCCACATCCTTGCTGGGGTCCACTTTCCTTCTTCACCAAGTACATCTTTCAGTCGTTCTTCCAGTGGAGGTCTGTTAGTGGTGAGCTCCGACGGGTCAGAGTTCAGCCCTCCGCTGTGGCATGAAACTTAGCTGGGTAAAAAACTCAGTTTGGGTTTTCTTCCCCCTTCCGGCACCGAGAGGTGTTTCACAGCTGCAGTTTGCCATCGTTGCGGAGAAACGGGCTTTTCCCCTTGGAGGACGGTCGACCCTTTCTCCAGTCTTTTCTCTTTGTCGTTTATGCTCCGCAGTTTCCCTTCCTTCTGTCCAGGTTTGAATTAGTTCCTGTTTAACCTTCAAGGGCCAAGGTCTTCTGCAGTCTGAGGACTGATGTTCTCTGTCAGTCCTGGGGAAGTGTTACTTATTCTTTAGCATTCTAGCACTTACGTTGTTCCTAAGGAGTCCTGAGTAGGTGCAAAGCAATACCTTAAAAATATACATAAGGCGGAAAGAATAATGGGGGAAAAGCAAAAAAGAATAACAGTACAACCCTGAAATACTCACCGTTGAGTGTGCGGAAAGAACCGAAAGAGCAACACCATTACTTCCAGTTTCCCTTCTGCACTGCACCAGCCCCCGCGACTGACCCACCTATTTCCCTGCAGAGGCCACTATTATCCTAAACGTACTGTTTGTAATTTCTTTGTACTTTCACAAAGAAAATACATGGCAATTCATGTTTTAAAGTGTTGTATGAGTGGACTAATGCCATATATGTTCTTCAGTTTGTTTTGTCCACTGAAAACTATGTTCCTGAAATCCTACTGTATCGCTGCGGATAGCTACAATTTACTCCTACTCATTAGTGATTAGTGTCCCGTTGCCCACATTTTATTCGTTCTACTGTTAATGAACATTGGTTGGTTTCTAGTTTCTAGTTGTCTTAGTGCTGCTTTAAGCATTTTCATAAATGCTTCTTGGGACAGGATAGTTTCTCTAGGGTTTATGACCAGGAGTGAGATTGCTAGGTCATAGAGTATGGGCATCTTCATTAAGAAAAATTGGTTTTCATAGTAATTGTACTAATTTACCCTCCAGCAGTACTGTATGGGAGGTGGCCCTGCTCCCTATGTCTGCCAATGCATGGTAGTCTCAGACTTTAACATTCGCCAGTCCTGTGGGTATGGAATGGTAGGTCACAGAAAATGTGTATTTTTGCTACTGATAATGAGATTGAATGACGTTTTACATGTTTATTGACCACGTATATTTTCCACAAAATGCTTGTGCAATTCATTTTACCCCCTGCCCTTTTATACTGGTTTGCCTTTCTCTTATTGATTTGTAATTTTTTTTACATATTCAGGATACAAATACCATGGCAACTGTATTTTTAGCAAATACCTCCTCCCACCTGTGGCTGGTTTTTTAGTGTCTTTTGATGAATAGACATTGTTAATTTTAATGTAGCCAAATGTGTTCATTTTTCCTCTGTGGTTGTCAATTTTTATTTCTTATTTAAGAAATAAACAAAAGTATCATTAAAATATTCTTCCATATTGACTTCTAAAATTTTTATAGTTTTGTGTCTTACATATGGCTCACTAGTTCACCTAGAGTTGATTCTTATCTGTGACGCACCGAAAGGGTATAAGTTCTAGTTATTTTATGTACCTTATGGGTGTTTTTGTGTGTATGTGTTCTGATCTCCTGTCTCACTTGTTACACAAAAGATATATTGTGGAATTCAGGAAAATGGTATTCCAGGAGAAATTTATAGTCTTTATACTTAGAGCCTGAAAATTGAGTAAATATGTTTCCAAATTTGAAAGTTAAAGACATAATAACAGAAAAACCACAAAGGATGTAGAATAAAAAGCAGTATAAAGATAAAAGCAGAAAGCAATTAAATAATCATTACATAAACAATAAATCAATTAAACCAAAATCATATTAAGTAATAGGCTCAAGGAACACAAAATAGTGTTTTTTAAAAAGTAGCAAAATTGATAAACTCTGGTGAGACTAGTCAAGAAAAAGAGAAAAGGCACAAATATACATTAAATTGATAAAGATGTCAAAAATTCAGGTGCAACAGATTAAAAAAATAAAGAAATGCTTTTTTATTAACTTTATGCTAATAAGGTCAAAAATTTAGGAGAAAACATGCAAATTTCTAGGATAAAATATATATTGATTTGCATCTATTTTGCTAAATTCTCTTATTAATTCTAATAACTTCTCTGTGGATAACTGTGGGTTTTACATATAACAGCCAAATAATATATGACTTATAAAAGTATTTTTTCCCCCGTTATCTCTTAGAAATACTATATTGGAACTTTCCATTCTGTCTTCCATGTCACATAACCTTCTCTTTCTTATTTCCATTGTTATCTCTGTGGTGTATTATGGGTGATTTATTCAGACCTGTGTTTCAGTTGACCACTTTGTATGAGGATTTAGCTATTCATTGAGTTTTTCATTTAAATAAATTAATCTTTTATTTCCAGAAGTCCAATTTGGTCCTATTTCAAATCTGTTTGTTCTCTGTTCATAGTTTCCTTTTGTTCACGTATTGTTTTGATTTTTACCTTACCTCTTTAATCATTTTTAACATAGTAACACTTGTAGACTCTTTCAGAGTGCTCAGTTATCTGTATAGTTGTTTAGGTACCAATTTGGTTGAATATTGAGCCATTTGATCTACCCTCATCTTGTTATATGGTTTGTAGTTATCATTGTGCACTCACCTTAAACACTGGTGGTCTTCCCCGTAGGAGGTCTGTGTGCCCCAGATCACAGGTTTGCCCTGTAGTGTGCATTGGCATTTGGTTTTGCTAGGGTCCCAGAGTTTCCATGGTTTGGCTACGTTTGGTTTTTCTTGCCCCAATTTTTTGTTAGTGTGTCAGCTGAGAATGCTTATGCTATAAGGCTTGTGTAAAATTAGATCCTACACTCCGGCTTGGGCTAAATTTATCAGAAGAGATGTTTCTTTTTCCTTCTTACTCAAACCTTAAATATTGCAAGATTCCTTGCTCTTTGTCCTTGCTGGAAATCTTTTTTAGTGACATTTTTATGGACTAAGCAACTTTGCAGGATTATTCCCTTAATTCAAACTTTTACTTCCATATATTAATTTTGAGTGACCCCAAGGCCGTCACTTGTCTTTATGTGAGGTTTATGAGGTCTGCCCAGAAGGTATCCAGCCATGTAATACGAAAAATAGAGACATTTACTGAAGAAGATACAAGATACAAGAAACACTATACATAGGACAATGATATTTCAGTCCCCCTTAAACTAGGCACCTGGGGACCTCACATAGTTCTGCCAGTTGCCATCAGCTGCTCCTACATATTTTCCTGAATCTAATTAACAATCTGAAATCTGTTACCTTTCAAAGGTGATTTTAGTTTTGGGAAAAGCCAGAAGTCATAGGGCGAAAAAAAAACCCTGTATAAGACATGATGCGTGAGCAGGCATATTGTCATGATGAAGTTGCCTATCACCAGTTACCCATAGCTGTGGCCTTCTGATTCATCCTAATAGTTCCCATGGAGGAATGTTCAAGCTTAACGCAAAATTTGATGCAGATTCATTGCTGTACTTGTTCAGTCATTTTGAATGTGACAGCCACACAGTACACATGCTCACTCAACAGCATCTACTACCCCCACTGACTAGTGCAGTGAAATCATCATTGTTCACACACATGCATTCCAGTCCACTCTCCTTGGCTGCCTGGTTGCATGGATGTCGTATAGACTGTTCTTGTTAACAGTGGCTGGACTTTTTCCAGACACACCTTGGACAACCAAACTCCAATTCTCTAGGTGGTTCTATCAGCCCAACTTACAGCTATAGTTGTCATAGGACTTCCCTTTTCTCCCTCTTGGTTGAATCATCTACTTTTAAAAACACAATATATTTGTGTATTAGTGACTGATTTTATTTTATCCAAAATATCTATGTGTTTATTGCAGGAGTGTGGGAGGGTCCCCCATGTTGCTGGAACCAGAAGTTATAGAAAAAGTCTTGATTCACACCCAAATTTACATTTAAGTAAATATTCTCCATTGAGTGGGATTACAGATTGTTTTAATTTTCTATCAAAGCCTCACTTTTATTGTTTGGGCTTTATACAATTAATATGTAATACTTTTATTATTTGAAAATATTATAAAATAATTTCAATTTGAAAACTGGATTAGGGTGCCACACTACCCTACCATGTAGTTCAGAAATTATTTTATTCTCAATTGTCCATGTCAAACAGGGGAAGAAGTCACCAAGTTCTCAATTATTTTATATTTAACTTTAGAATGCATTACAGTGAAACATCACCAATTCAGACTAAATGAGGAAAATGAATCTAAGTTCATCTAAAAGATGGACATTTTTAATGCCTTTTAAAAATTTCCTCAAGTACATGCAATAAATGGAACAAAAATGGTGTTAATTAGGAAAGGTCCTATGTTGTGTAATAAACAGACTACATTAGTTGTTTTATGCTTTGAAATAGAAAAACATTTCCCATTGCCATCTATCTATATTCCTCACTCCCTGTATTTATTACCTACTGTTAAATTCAAGTATTGTCGAGTTGTTGCAATGATAACTTTTTAAATCTCGATGGCCTCAATTTACTGATGCTATTCATTTGTTTCCAGGTCTCTCTGGGGTGCAGGCTGCGTCTTGGGGTGTATGTGAGTGCACATGTGTTTAAGGGAGACTCTTGGGGGTGTTCAGTGTCTGTGCTGAATGATTTTTAATGACTCTTTCAGTGGCTACTTTTACTTTTAGCCCGGTTCCAATTCAAATGATGATTAATTCTAAATTATTGAGGTTCAAATAATGGTTTTCTTTAAATGCTTTGCCAATATGTATATACTGATTTTTTTAAAATTTTGAGGGTTTAAAAAATCTAATTCTAACGTACAAGGAAAATAGAAAATACTTCCTGCAAATATCCTATCAAAACATCACACTGTATATCATCCCAGCCTTTCCCTCATAAGCCCGGCTTCTTTCAGAAAGCCTTTCTGGGAGACTTGATTAAACTGAAATCCGTATAAAACAAAAGATGCCCATATAACAAAATGTGGAAGGTAGTTTCTCACAATGGACTTTCAGTGGACTATAAACATCTCTATGCTAGATGTTGCAGTTTTCCTAAGACCTTAGGAGAATTTCAGGTTTTCCTTATAGAAACGCTGGGGGCGGGGGGGGGGGGAGAAAGAAGGAATGAAAAAAGGAAGGAAGGGAGAGAATGAGGGAGGAAAGAAAAAAAAAACTGACAGAGCCTTACCAAATATAAATATATTTATAGCCACCAAATATAAATATATTTATAGCCACTAAAGTGTCTCCAGGTGAGCAGAGTGGTGGGCACTCACCTTGCAAGAATAGGGTTCTCTCCAGTGATATTCTGAAATCTCCACCCACATCTTGACCTGTGGTTTTGGGGCTTTGGGGCTGCTCAGGAAGTGTCTGAAGAGCTCAAACATGTCAGTACATTGGTATCATTCTCTGGGGAAGGGGACATGCTGCACTCTGACTGGTTGCAGAGGTCATTCATTCATTCGTTCATTCATCCAACAAACACCAGTGGAGGACCAGGTTCTGTGTTAGGCCCTGGATATACACGAATGTGGGGTAACCTCTTGGAGCATTCAGACTAGGGGTGGGGACACAAACATTCACAAATAATTTACAACATAATACAGGCTAAACTAGCGCTGTCCACAAGCTGGTTTCTAACTCAGGGTTGACCATTCCACTAGGTATGTGGGAGTGGTGGTCAGAAAAGCTTTACAAAGAGAGCGACAGTTGGGTTAAGTGTTGAAAGCAGCTTTTGACCAAGCAGTGTGGGAGAGGGCATAGAAAGTAGCCTATGTAAATGCGGAGAGCCAGGAGAAACTGGGGTGGGGCAAGGAATTGGAAATGGGATTCAAGACTACACTCGCAGGGATCATTTCTATAGTTTGTTACTAGAGAAGTTTCTCTGAACTGGTGGAGAGCACCTGAAACCACAAGGAGAAGATGGAGTGTTCTCCTGAGCTTGAAGTCGGTTCTTGGTGCTGCTTTGGTCACTGCCATTTGCCATTGATGATTGTTCTTCCCTCTCTCCCCCTAGGGGATAAGAGGGAGAGAACACTGTCTCAGTGGTACAAGAAAAAAGAAATGGGGTTCATTAGGGATGAAGACACAAAGCGTGAAAGTAGTGAGCCAGGCCCTGGGGGCAGTGGTTGGACGGTTAAGGGAATGAAGTGCACAAAGGCACAGAGAAAACAGGCAAAAATTATATCGGGGCAGAGAGGACGCCATCTTGACCAAGGCGGGGCTGTCGCCAGGGTCACCATGGCAGGCTGGCCGGCCACAGGGAAGGAAAGGAACCGGGGCATCTCAGCATTAGGGGGTTGATGGCGAGGAGGTGAACAGGCTGGTGAAGAAAAATGAGCAAGTGTCAAAGAAGCTTTAGGCTAGAATGGGCTCAGGAAAGTCAGAGGAAGAGAAAAATAATTTTGAAACTTAAAGAGCCATCAGAGTAGCCACGGACCGGTCCATTTGCCTCCCTTTGTAGATAAGGAAGTTGTCTTTGCCAGTATGTGCTGCTTCTAGGTCAAAGCTTCTGTCCTACGTCCCTGGAACTCTTATCCCAGCCACATGCCCCAGCCTTCTCATTCTTACTTGGCCTTTAGGAGAACTTGGATGACCTAAATAGACTGCCTGCCTCGGCTTTGATAAGCAGGAGTAGAATGAAAATCACAGAACAGCTTGCTTCAGACTTCAGTGTGTGTTTTCCTAGAGATCGAAGCAGAGGAAAGCCAAGAAAGGACGTGACGGTTTTCCTAGAAGAAAGAATTCATTAGAAATCCCAGACGAAACATTTTCAGGGGCCAGGTGATGTTAGAAATCAGAATTAGACAGGGATTATAAAATAAAATGAAGGCAGGCGGATCAGCTGTCCAGGGAATTTATCCATGGAAGGTTAGCAAGAAAGGTTATTCTAAAGTTTTAACCTTGAACCTAAAATTTTTATGACTTCCATGAATTACTCTAGCCTAGTTAATGATAAATGTGTCAACGGATAATAATTTGCAACACTGTTTTTTTTCCCCCCCAGACAAGTGGTGTTTCTTTCTAGTAACAGTGTGTCTATCTCTAGGAGCCTCTGGTTTTCTTGTCCTCCCATCTTTCCTCCTCCTTCTCCCCAGTCCCCTCCAATTTCTCCTTTCCTCCTCTGTCCTCTTCTCCACGGCACCCAACCTGAGTGAGACAAATTCTTGACTCCATATACTCATTCGTCCTCATTCTCGTTGCAGCCAAAGGGACTCACATGGCCCCAAAAGCAGGGGTGGGGGAGGGGTGCAGGCGGGGTTGCCGGTTGCCGAGGCCAGCAGTTCCTTCACCCAAGCCTCAGTGCCAGCGTTCTTTTGCCATGGAGAGGATTCACTGCGACGTCCAAAGTAAACCCACTCCATGTCATCCACTGCCCTGTCTGGCTGCAAGATCACGGGATGACGCAGCCCAGGAAAGCTCCCCCAGACTGCATTCCCCTGCCTCTCCCCGACCCCAGGTTGGTGCCTAGCTCAGTCTCCCAAGGGTCCCCTGTACACGGCAATGACAAATCCTGGGACCGCAGCCCTCACGAAATGGGTTGAGGATGCCAAGCCTGACCTGTTAGGCTGGAAAGAAAAACCTTTTCAACATTTTGGTATGTTTTTCTTTTCAGAGTTTCGTCCATTAATATGCAGGGATGGTTGTGAGGGATGTTGTGCAGGAACTAGAACCTGTCCCCCGCATCGCGGCTTCCCCACTCACTGTTGTGTCCCCTGCTTCATCTGGTCTCCCCTCTGGGTCTCACATCCTCTTCACCTCCTCTGCTTCTGCCTGGGTACCAGATGGGGCAAAGTCAGGTTTACAGTGGTTCCTATGGAAAATAATACAATAATTGATAAGCAAGAATACAAAAATAAACTCTGCGTTTTTGTATTCACAACTGTAAATCTACTTTTGCCCCACCCTATGTATTCACAATAAGGCGTAAATGACTGATAAAAGCTTAAGGTATTACTTGTTAGAAGCACATTTGTATTTTGACAGGGCATAAAGCCTTTAGAGAAAGGAATAAACCCATAAATCTGGATGGAGAAATTTTAATTAGGTAGCAGGAGAAATGTCTGGGACTGGATGGAGTACACCTGGTTTTCCTGAAATCACAGGACAGACACCCATTCTGCTTAGAAACTCTCTCTCACACACATCCCTGGCCTATTTAATCCCAGGCATATGTGAAATGCTTTACTTACACTCTCACGTACTTCTTACCCCACCCCCCGACTCATGCAGGGTAGATATTTAGTGTTGCACAGACACCCTGCTACACGGCAAAGTTAAGAAGACTGCCCAGACCCGCGCAGCCCAAACGTGTGGAACTGGACGTGACTCCAACTCCTGTGGACCGGGAAGCCCCAGCGGGACACTGTCTTTCCACGTGGCGGGAAGCGGGTCGGCGGCTGGCCTCCTGGGCTGCTTAGTTAAGGAAGGTATTGAGCTTCGGAAACCTCTTCTCCTAAGTCATCTTTAAAAGCCGCCTTAGTCATCTTTGTTTTCCTCCAAACTGCCCGGAGTGTGTGTGCGTCATGCCTGCAATGCTGTGCCCCAAATGGAACATGCTGGCCGGGTCTATTTTCATTTTTCAGCTTGTGTAGGATATAAAAAAAAATAAACAGCATATGGTGAAAAGTTAATGAGATTTAAAAAAAATAAGTTCACTTAAAATAATCCACGGGCTTTTCTACATGTGTTCTTGGTCTGGTTTCAAAAACCACAGGAGTTTTTACTATGCTTCAGAAACGGGTGAATATTTGCATAGTTTCTGTCGGGGTCAGTGGGAAACCAGTTTCATAGAATCGGCACTAATAATCATGTTTATAAACAAGTGCTATGCTGAGCTAGTACAGACTGGGACGTACTGTGATGTGTCCTAGCATTCAACATGTTCAGAGCAACCCTGCCCCTCTCCCTGGTTACCAGTCTCAGGCTCACGGGATGCTGCTTCAGCCAGTAAGTGTAAGGAAGTCCTACCCAGAGAGGAAGATGGGAACAAGCAGACAGCTTCTGGGAGTAGCCCTCTGAACATAGCTGGGCACTTACGTTACCATTATAGGTAGAACTCACCTTGTAAGAAAAATTTCCTACACCTTAGAAGCCAATTAAAAAAAAAGGAAGTTGAAAATCTTGTTTTTATTTTAAACAAGGAGGGCATACAAAGTTATTGTTTCTCAAGCTACCTGAGGTTTTTGCATTGAAAGAAACAATTAATTTGAAGATGCACATAAATAATTTTATTTGCATGATTGTGTTTAGCCACAAAGTTCTCTTGATAATTAAGTGCTAAAAGCTCACTGTGTGCGTTGAGGATTGTTCTGAGTGTTGTGGAAGCCGTAAGAGAAATAAAAGGGAAGGACTTTGTCCTGAAGGCGTTGATAATCCAGCTAGTGATGGGTAAGGCCTTTGATGAAATGGAAAGTGGTGTCGGACACTTCTTTTGTGCCAGGCAGCGTGCTCAAAGCTTTGCAGGAATTATGTCATTTAATCCTCAGAAGCCCAATGCTGTAGGAAATATACAGGAGGTAATGCAGGCTCGAGACGTTCATGGAACTCTCAAAGAGTTGTCTCGAGAAGTATATGAGAAACTATAATGCACTATATCAGCTGGGTTTAGATTTGGTTTGCTACGGAAAAAGAGGGGGGAAATCCCCAAACAAAACAGAGCAAAACATAAAAAAGCAGTAGCTTAAACAGACAGAAGTTCATTTTTCTCTCTTGTAAACCCAGTCCAGGGAAGCAACCAAGCCAGCACTGCAGCTCCCCTCTAAACAGGGACACACCTACCCCCAAAGGATGCAGGAAACAGACACATTTTTACAGGTGGTCACGTGCCCATTAAAAATTGGGGCTTCTATTTCTAAAGGTGAGGAGAACAGATGTTGGGTTAGGCAACTTGTTTCTCTACCATACGTGTGCAAAGTGCTGGCACAGGATAAACACAGTAAATGTTAAGTAATAATAGTTATAAAACTCAAAGCAGCCTCCATTGTGGCTTGGTTTATTGATTAAATACGCCTTGTGCTCCAGGTTTCTCCTGTTTCAGACTGTATCCTGTGCCTGAATGGGGAACTGAGTGAGAAGGGAGGGCGAGCGAGCCAGGAGCTCCACACACTGAGCGCGTTGACTTTCCAGGGCCTGCCTCTTCCTCCTCCTGCAGACCGTCGAGGTGGGAGGTGGTGTGCCCTAAAGTTTGCACCTGTGGAAAGGTGGCCGAAAGCCAAGTTATGATGCCAAACAAGGACACTGCCCAGGCCTGGGCGTTTTGCAGCCCAGGCTTCTGCTTTTTTCCCATGCAAATGATAGCTCCGCATTGTGGCAAATGGGGAGGAGCGGGGCAGCCATCCTGCCTTTCAGGGGGCAAGCAGGCACCCTGGACTGGGGCGTCCCAGTGCGACGCTGCTGGAGCTGTGCCAACAGGGGGCCCTGGGCAGGGGGGCTGGTTGTGAGTCATGAGTTGGTGGTTTTGACTGGGTGGCTTCATTTGTTTCAAAGAGTTTTGCATGGATCATCTCAATCTCCCAAATTCCTAGGTAAGAGACTCTCGGGTCACAAAATATTTGCACTCTATGGATTTGAGGAGTTGCTCTCACCTTCTTAAAACATCTACCAAGCAAGTTGTCTTTAGGTTTAGGATTCTATTATGGGCAGACTTGGTTTCTCAGAGCAGGGGTGGGGGTGGAGAAAACTGTGCAGGGTAGGTGCAGAGGGTGAATGGGATGGTAGGGAGAAATGCTGGCATTTCCAGCTGTTTCCTACCCAGGTTTGGGCCAGGAAGAGCTGGGAAGAAAAAGGAAGTGAGAGGGAAGACCTTGACCCTTCCACGTTCTCACCTGCATGTCCAACCCATGACCAAGTCCTTCCATGTTACCTCCTCACAGCCTCTCCCATGGAGGGCCACTGACTGCAGGCATGGTACTTTGTGCCAGTCAGAAGAAGGGATCCACCTTCCAGCAGGCTCAGTCCTGGGCCAGGACCCAGGTGAGTGGTAGGTAGGGCTCTGGACCCGTCTCATCTCCTTGGACAGGAGCATTGAATGGTGGTGGATTATTTGGGGTCAGTTCACACATCTCATGCCTGTGGCCCCTCTTGCCCCCATCCACCTCCACCATCTCTCTGCTCTTACTTGGACTATGAGCCATCGCGATAACGAGGAGGCCCTTTACAGAAAAGCCTCAAATTTAGACTTCGGTGCGGTTGCCAAGTAAGCGTATACATTTAGTCCTGCAGATAATGACTAGATGAAAAGATGTTCATCGTATTATTTGTTTTTAAACTTGTGATATAGTAACAGACCACACAGCCTGTGGGGCACTATGAATTCATTGAAATAAATTTTAATTATTCTGTGAAAAGCACTTTTGCATTGTATTATTGGGATGGAATACATTATGTTAAAAAATGTAAACATTACAATAATTTTATGACCCTCTTATTATTTCTTGCTATAATACAATATACTGGGATCCTAAATAAATGAAGGTTACCAGGTCTTCTTGGCCCGAGCCCTGAACCCAGACGCCTGTGACCTGATCCCTATTGACTGCAGTCTGCCCTGGCTCTCCCTCTCTCAACAGCCAGTGGGGTTCTGCGACCACCCAGAGTCCATGATGGCGGCAGCCCCCTGCTGAAACGCTGCAGGTCCTTCCCACCGCTCTAGGCACACAGGCTCCGAGGGAGCTGGGCCTGTAGAGGCCCCACCTCCGCCTCCGCCCAGGCCGCCTGCCCAGTCTTGCTCCCCAGCCCCCCGGGGCCTCCTGCTGTCCGGGATGCCCTTTCCCTTCTTTCCCTGGTTGGTTTCCCCTGGTTTTTCAGTTCTCAGCCCAACCCACATTTCCTCCGGGAAGCCCGTCTGCAGACCTGAGTCTGCGTCAGGCTTCTCCGATTATTTCCCTCGTGGAGTTCTGATCTTTTCTTCAGAAGGTGGTACATTTTACCATCAACTAGTGTGATTATCTGAGTGGTGTCCAGCAGGCACGCCCAGCGCAGTAAGTTAACTTTTATTCTTCACTGTCCTGGCTGCTGAGCCAGAGTGAATGAATGGGAGGACCACCCCCTCAGCTGCTCCCTGTGGATCACGCTTCCCGAGGGGGGATCTTTTACACACAGGGGCCTTGAGAACGTGGGTCACCAGCACCACAGAGAGAAGTGTGGCTTCAGAGGAGACATCTGAAGGTCAGAGATGCCGGGGTAGCCCGCCACATTTCAATTCCTACGGAAACATGTCACAGTGTGGAACTTTCCCTAAAGTTAGGGAGAGAAAATTACGTGTAACTAACTACTTGGGCATTTTCAGAGGAATGCACTGATAAGCAAACTCCTCAATGAAATTGTCATTTTGTGTTAAAAAAGAGAAAAGTATGTAACAAGTGCTTTGGCCCTTCCCAGAACAATTAGACACCTGTCAGTCCAATCATTTACTGATGAAGGTGCCCATGGATTCTCTGAATGAATCAGAGGCAAGGCAATTGAATATAAGCCGGGAGAAATAAAAAGCATGAATGTAATATAGTCATGCACGAGTTATTGTTTGGAACTTATTGTGCTTGATCTTCTGGAAGTTTATGCGTACTATGAAGCAATGAATCACATATGAAAAAAAAAAGCCTACAAGGCCCTACAATAAGTTTCTGAGATCCAGAAAAGTGGAGGTGAACACCCTCTGAAGGAATTCCTTGTGTTCTTGTTATGTGGCACCTCAAATATGGTCCCTTCCCACGTTTGTATATTTGAAGATCTAGAGTGGAATTATCTATAAAGTGTCTTTATCCAAGCAGCAGGGTATCAGTGATAGAAGCTGTATCCACGATTACATAATACAACTATAGGAAAGAATGCACTAATAGGTACTCAATACGTGATTTTGATGATGGCGAAATGAATAATGACAATACTGGGAATGAAATGAGAGATGCCATTGAACACATATTTGTCTAAAAGTTACAATTTCTAAACTAGGCTGTAATAAAGATATTTATTATGTAGCATTGACAATGTGGGCAGTCTGTATGATATTCTAAAATGTGAAGTGTTTTCTTCGTTTATGTCACTGGTATTACTGTTGCTAGCAACTTGGGAGAGAAACTGTAGTGATCTTACGTTGCGTTTGAGTTAAGGTTCTGAACGTCTAGCCCCTACTGTGGTGGGTTCCCAGTGTCAGTGCAGGGCCGTCCAAGGCTGTGGGTCAGGGCTGGGTGCCTGGGAGGGCAGCCGACAAAGCACAAAGGGGAGGCTGTTGGGTGTGGGTGCAGTCTGAGCCTGCTGGTTGACGGGTAAAGTCCTCCTCGATGCTTCCTTCATGAAGGGCGGCCCTGACAGCTGCAAAGAGTTGTTTTCCTCCCCTGCTGGGGGCAAAACCAAGGCAATATTTACCCTTTTCATTGTCAGGGCATGTCACAAGGTAGATTTTAGATAAATTTGTTGAATCAATCAGTGTAGTTTCCCCCCCACCAAGATTTATCATCCCCACTCTAAGATTCTTCCTAAGTACAATAGAGCTATTGATCATCAGAGTCCCCAATATTTATTCAAACTATTTGCTTAGATTTTTAAAAATCCTAATTGTTTTGCACCCTAAACGTATGGACCACTGTAAATTTACATAGTTGTTTCAGATCAAATGGTATATCCCGAATCTTGCGTTTACTTAGTTATTCACTGCTAACATCTAAATCGGAGAAGTGAAAAGGACAATTGTTTAGTGCTTTTTAAAGTCCCTGACCAGGATCAGTAGGGAAATCCCATTAGCTCCATTCAGCGTGTTTCTCATAAATGTAAAAGGAAAGCAAGTATCCAAAGCCTTATTCTTTAATAGTTCTTATTTGAAAAACCTTGACAGGGCTTTATTCTAAATTGCTTCCAAATCATGTAAAGAATACTGAGAAATATGATGGGCAGTGCATCTAATAGTTTGTTACTGAAAAAATAACCAGAACAGTAAAAGGGGGCTAATCTCAAAACAAACAGTATGATGGGCTCCATCCCATGAGGCAAAAAGAACAGAAACTATGGCGGCCTCCCATGGCCACCTGGCCCAGTCCTGTGGAAGTGGACAAGCCAGACAGGCTTTTTCATTCAGTGTCCTAAAACTTATTCAAAAGGAGCTGTTACTTGAATATTAATTTTTTATATCACTAAAAACAAAACAAAACAAACAAAAAAACCCAAGCCCATTTCGTAGCCAAAAAGGAATGTTTAACAAAATACCGGACTGGGTAATGGCTGGCCGAACCCGAGGGCAGGGGGCAACTTGTATGTGGCTTCTTTGTGGTGAGGTCAACTTATTAAGGCTGTCATCGTGGTTGGAAATTTAGGCAAGAGGTGTAAAAATTGGGAGCTCATTAGGAAAAACGAATGCGGTGATTTCCACTACCTTTTTATCAAAAAAGGAAATAGTGTAGAATTGCCATACAGGATAAGGGTGGCAAGTGGCCGTAGAAATTATGATCTACTCTTCAGACTGTAGTTTTGTGGGGCGTGAACCTATTTCAACCCTTTCTGATGGGCCCCTGACGACTGCCGTGTTGTTTACCAAGTCCTGGGTTTTTAAATGGAACTGTAAGAGGCCTTAATTTTGTTTCCCAAGAAGGTGTGTTTGCAAAGTGGAAGTTGAATAAATAGGAGCTGACTAGGTATCTTCAGCAAGAAGCCTTTAAAAAGGTATTTTAGCTTTCTCTGTGCTTTAAAAGACAAAACCGACTCCTGCCGGCTTTGTGTTGTGCTTCCCTTGCAGACTGCAATGCCTTCTGTCTGCGTTAGGGTGTGGCATCTGCCATCGGGGAGGAGAAACTGGCATGAGTCGCCTTTCAGAGCAGACTGATTTCATTGTGCTGGGGCCTCCGTTCCACAGCCTCTTGGTTCCGGTCTTCTCGATGACTTGCTGAAGCAAATGGAACTAAAAGAGATTTTAACTGACATACCTTTTTATTTTTTAGTTTCATGAATTTTCTACATGAAATAACCTTTTAAAGAAATGGGCCAGAGCTGAAGTTGGTGACTCATTTTCCCTTTTAGAATGAACGTAAAAATAAGGCAGAAATATGGCTACTCTTGCATGAATTGACTTTGATATATATTAGTTTGAAAAAAAGTACTTTTATGACTATGTATATTTTAGTTTGACTATAAATGTCTAAAATATGTAACTGACTTTAGAATATATGTATATACACACAACATATATTTATACTTACATATGAAAAACTTAAAAATTCAACTTACGGGATATAATGCATGTAATTAGTATGCACTGTATTTGCATATGCAAAGGGAGAAAATCCAAAAGAAAAATGTCAAAAAGTCATGCTAACAAAGATGTAGTATTCTCTTGGCAAAAACTGACAATTCGGCATGGATTCACCTTACAGGTTTGTTACTTTCTCTCACTCAGGATGATATAACCCTGGGTTCCGGTTGTTTGAGTAGAATTGCAAAGTGTTGTTTCTCAACCCTATAATGACCCCTGGGTACACACGGATGCCCCGCCCCCAATTAGTCACCGGTTTTCCCCATCCATCCTTTTCTATTAAATCAAGTAACTTTTACAGTTGGGTCAAGCAAACCAAAATAACCACTGTACTTGAAATAAACTAAAAGTCTTTATGAAAAGCTGAAGAACGAAATCATTTTAGAAAACTGCATTCTACCAAAATCGTACCATTTATATACATAAAAAATGAAAGCTCTGGTTTCAAAGCTTTCTCTCCATGAAAACTCAGTTCACACTAGTACAATTGAGCTGCCATTGCTTAGGTTAAGAAGTCCTGCTATTGAAGATACTCAAGGTGTTACTTGGTGATAAATTAACAATAAACACTTAAAACATCATAAAGTGGTAAAACAGTTTTGCTTAAAGAACAAAGCATGAAACATTTTTACTGTAGGATTAGATAAAATTATTATTACTAGTCTTATGTTTATTAAACAACATTTTTTGGTTTGGCTTCAAATAGAAATGAACTCACATCAAGGGGGTAATTGTGGGTATTAACCTCTGAAATATGGTGAAGGGTGTCTTACAGATTTAGGAAGGTGTGAGATAAACCTTAGCTGTTACTATTTATGGCACCGATAGTTAAATTTCCATTTGCAAGATGTTTGGAGTGTAACACACCACTCTTCATACTTGAAGACTTTCCTTTCAGGGAGAGGACAGACAAGTGTATTATTGCAAGAAAGACACTCCTTTGGGAATACTTTGAGCTTTCACCGACAAGCTTACACACATACATAAGGTGCCTTAAAAACTATATTAACATTATCTTTGGGGCAGATGTAGTCAATTACAGGCATTTATTGAGTACCTGCTGTGTGCACTTCGATTGTGGCTAACCTTCGCTTACACTCTCCTAATTTCCCAGTCTGAAGAAGTTGTGGGAATTAGACGCTGATGGCCCGAAATCAAGGCAGAGAGGCTAACATTTGGAAAAATTACATAACTCCTGGGAAAGCCAGTGCTTTTGCGCGGATTGCCCAATATTTTCTCTCTGTCGGCTCCTCGTCACCTTTGAGGCCAACAGACAACTTTGTTCCCCAGCCCTTCTCCCTCTTTTGTCTGCTCGTCAGACTCGTTTTCCACCTTTGTACCGTTCCTTTTAGACGTGAAAACAAACACGCGAACGCCCGGTTGGCAAGGAGACGGAGGCACGAGGGGAAAGTGCAGCCTCCGTCGGCCCCAGGCCGCCGCGCTCCCGGCGCCGGCGGAGCCGGCCCAAGTCCCCGGCCCCGGCCGCTGAGTGTGGGCGAGGATGCGCCCGGGCGGGCGGCGGGCGCAGGGCCGGGAGGGCGGCGGCAGCGGCGGCCCGCCGAGTCCAGTCCGCGTTTTGCGAGTGCACACGAGTAATCAGAGAGAAGTGGATAATAGTTGCTCGGGCTTGCTCGGCTCCCTCTCATGCCGTGCTGGGCCCGATCGGCTCAGCCAGTCGTGTATTTACCCATATCCGGGTTAGAGAGGAAAAAAGTTTTCATTTAAACCTGAACTCAAAACTTTCACCGTGAAATCACACAGCGGGAGCAGGCCCAGACCGTAAGGCGTGACTCCCGGTTCCGCTCCGGCGGGGCCTTCGGAGGGGGAGGGGGCTCGCTCGATCCCCTTCGGGGCGTGTGGATGCGCACAGGAGGGGCCGCGGACTAAAAAGTGGGTTTTATTGTCTCCCCCCGCCCCCCGCCCGGCCTCGCCACGCCGCGGCGATCATGGCCGCGCGGGCAGCAGCGGCAGCGTCGCGGGCGGGCAGCGGCGAGCGGCGGGCGCCCCCCGGGCCGCGGCCGGCGCCCGGGGCCCGGGACCTGGAGGCGGGGACGCGCGGCGCTGCAGCGGCGGCCCCGGGACCCATGCTGGGGGGCAGCGGCGGCGACGGCCTGAACAGTGTGCACCACCACCCCCTGCACCCCCGGCACGAACTGAACATGGCCCATCACGCGAGCGCGGCCGCCGCCGCCAGTTCTAACAGCGCCAAGAGCGGCGGATCCGAGGCGGCTCTCAAGGAGGGTGGAAGCGCCGCCGCGCTGTCCTCCGCCTCCTCCGCGGCGTCCTCCTCTTCCTCCGCGTCGGGCCCAGGCTCGGCCATGGAGACGGGGCTGCTCCCCAACCACACACTGAAAACCGTTGGCGAGGCCCCCTCCGCGCCGCCCCACCAGCAGCACCACCACCACCATGCCCACCACCACCACCACCATGCCCACCACCTCCACCACCACCACCACGCACTACAGCAGCAGCTAAACCAGTTCCAGCAGCAGCAGCAGCAACAGCAGCAGCAACATCCCATTTCCAACAACAACAGCCTCGGCGGCGCGGGCGGCGGCGCGGCTCAGCCCGGTCCCGACATGGAGCAGCCGCAACATGGAGGCGCCAAGGACAGTGCCGCGGGCAGCCAGGCCGACCCCCCAGGCCAGCCTCTGCTGAGCAAGCCGGGCGAGGAGGACGACGCGCCGCCCAAGATGGGGGAGCCGGCGGGCGGCCGGTACGAGCACCCGGGCCTGGGCGCCCTGGGTGCGCAGCAGCCGCCGCCAGTCGCCGTGCCCGGGGGCGGCGGCAGCGGCGGCGGCCCGGCGGCCGTCTCCGAGTTTAATAATTACTATGGCAGCGCTGCCCCTGCAAGCGGCGGCCCCGGCGGCCGCGCCGGGCCTTGCTTTGATCAACATGGCGGACAACAAAGCCCCGGGATGGGGATGATGCACTCAGCCTCAGCCGCCGCCGGAGCCCCCAGCAGCATGGACCCCCTGCAGAACTCCCACGAAGGGTACCCCAACAGCCAGTACAACCATTATCCGGGCTACAGCCGGCCCGGCGCGGGCGGCGGCGGAGGCGGAGGCGGAGGAGGAGGAGGAGGAGGCAGCGGAGGAGGAGGAGGAGGAGGAGGAGCAGGAGCGGGAGCTGTGGCGGCGGCGGCCGCGGCGGCGGCAGCAGCAGCAGGAGGCGGCGGTGGCGGCTATGGGGGCTCGTCCTCGGGGTACGGGGTGCTGAACTCCCCCCGGCAGCAGGGCGGCGGCATGATGATGGGCCCCGGGGGCGGCGGGGCCGCGAGCCTCAGCAAGGCGGCCGCCGGCGCAGCGGCAGGGGGCTTCCAGCGCTTCGCCGGACAGAACCAGCACCCGTCGGGGGCCACCCCGACCCTCAACCAGCTGCTCACCTCGCCCAGCCCCATGATGAGGAGCTACAGCGGCAGCTACCCCGACTACAGCAGCCCCAGCGCGCCGCCGCCGCCGTCGCAGCCACAGTCCCAGGCGGCGGCGGGGGCGGCGGCGGGCGGCCAGCAGGCGGCCGCGGGCATGGGCTTGGGCAAGGACATGGGCGCCCAGTACGCCGCTGCCAGCCCGGCCTGGGCGGCCGCGCAACAAAGGAGCCACCCGGCGATGAGCCCCGGCACCCCCGGCCCCACCATGGGCAGATCCCAGGTAACCCCCGCGCCGGCCGGGCCTGCTTCCGCCGAGGCGGCCTCGGCGCGCGCCGCGAGCCCTAGTTTCTTTCTTTCCGCGTACTTTTTCTGCGTCTCGTGCCCGGGGAGGCGGGGGCGAGGCGCCCAAAGCCATTTTTAAGTCGCGGCTGCCTCTCTCCGAGGCTGGGGCGCGCACCGGGTTCGAGTGCGCGGCCCGGGGGCCTGGCCAGGGGTCTGGCCGAGGGCCCGGCCGGGCCGGGCGCGGGCACTGCCGGCGGCCGAGCACCCCGCCTCGCCACCCCACCCCAGGCCCGAGCCGCGCGCGCTGGAGCCGGGGACTGCGCCGCCTGGCAGCCGGGTGGGCGCCGGGGAGGATCGGGCCGCGTTTGTAACGAAATCGGCGCTCTGGCCGGTACGGTCGGGACGGGAATATTGACCCGGTCTTCTCAGCGCCAACAATGAGCTTTAACTGGGGGAAAGAATGAGGAACTTTGTCCTACCTCCAGCCACACCACGTTCCTTCTTAGCTTCCAAGGTGAAGGAGGAAAAAATAGGTTAGCTTTGTGGCAGCCGAGTGTGCTTTTCGTAGTTATGCCCAGCCATTCAGAGATACTCGATGCGGGCTTTGAGTGTGAATGTTTGGTAGCAAAATAATACCCAGGCGTACAACGAAGAGGAGTTAGGGTATTCTAAAATATATCGATTCACTCCTGAGAATTGTTAGGAAATCCATTATTTGGCTTATGGGTTGCTTGAAAGGAGTCACCTTCAACAGATAGGCTGTTTTAAAGGAACGCCTTCCGGGTAAATTGAACTTATTTTGATCATGGATTAGACATACATTTTATTTAGCAAGTCCGGGAAAAGAGCAGACCAGTGAAAATTGATCTTTTTGGAACGGATTTATTTGGATTTTCTATAATTCGCTGTCACCCAAGTCCTACAGCGTCATTAGAAGTGTCCTGCAATCTTGCCGTTCCTTGCTCATAGGCTGAGCCTAAAGACTGACTTGATCTCCTTTGCAAGGTTTGGAATTTGAATTGTGGAGGTAAACTGGCTGTAATAGTCTCCAGACAGCTGCCTCTGAGTTGACATCTAATCTGCCATCTGATTGGCTCCCCTCTCACCATTGGGCATTTAGCACTGCTGATGTAAATAGAAGTGCTGAGCAGTACAGTCACAAAAATTCTTGCCACAAATAATATCTGAGCTCTATTGCAAGCAGATGTAAGGTAGAATATTATTTAAAGCTTAAATGACTACGAATCATATTATCAATAAGAGGATTAAATACATAAAAAACATTACGCTGGTGTCCAGTGCTGGGCATTTACAGAATTACCATCTTTGAAAATCCTAACATGGACATTGCATGTATCACATTCTTTAATTGTAGGGTGAGGATATGGCAGTTGAAAAATAATTAAACCACCGATTTCTACCAATTTTTGGATTCGTTAAGCTTTTATAAGTACCCTTTACAGATTAAACTATGAGAAAAATTTGAATTATATCATTACAATTTAATATACAATTAAAAGTTACGCTATTAAAATTTCAACATTCTGATATGCAATACCTTTTAGTGAAATATAATTAGCTTTATAACAAGAGTGAGGCTACATTTATAGTAATTTGTGTTTTTAACAATTATGACCCTCTTAAGATGTTTGTGGATGAGGTGTTCTAGTTAGAATTGACATTATAGTCGAAAAAAATGAAGCAAGAAAACCATATAATTTTTGCAGACAGTTAGTTAAAAGGAAAAAATGGATATTCTTGTGAAACACTAAAAGTCATTTTATATTTTCTTCTAATTTGGAGAATACAGAAACACACCAAGAGCCTTTCTCCCCCACTTAATTGTTTTGTTAGATTGGGTAACGTGAGCTCTATTTGAACTGCTTACCCAGTGAATTGGGGAAACTGTATTACATGCAAGGTGTGTTTCTTCCAAATAATTTTTCTTATTGCTATGAAAATTTTAAAAAATTTAATCTGTTAGAAAGTGATGACAGTGATTGTGATGTATATTTTCACTCAGCTCATTTACTTAGGTATATCTTAATGATAACCATATCTTAGAGGAGAGACTTCTCTGAGTGATTGAAAGACCGTATTTAACTGATAATCATGTGACTCAGACTGAGGATATTGATGTCCACTGCTTTCAAATCTTTACTTAGTGGAGTTTTACTTTTGATAATCCTGTATTTTTTCATTCTTGATAGAAAATTTTTGATTTCTGTTTTTATTTTTGATTTGCACAGGTAAAAACATTATAGAGAAACCTTGTGTAAATAAACCCACATAATTAATTTTAAAAAGATTTGCTTTGTCAGCTTGCTTTTAAAGGGACAGTTTAAAATTCACCTCTTTGTAAACTAGAAACGAAAGGATGATAAAGGCAGATGTAGGTTCGTGTTACTTTAAAGTATTATTTCTTAATGGTACCAATCATTTTAAGTATTTTGTTTTCTTGGAATGAGAGTGAATCCATTAGGTCCTCAGTATGACCCTTGGGAATAGCTTTTATATTTTTGAGGGGGAAGAAAAATGACAAGCATATGACCTAGATTGATAGATTTCTTTTTGGTACTTTATGGTATAATGTGGAATGTGTCTTTATAATATTTTTTCTTTTAGAGCACTAGTATTACTTAGTATTTGTTATGGTAAATGACTAAGAAACAGTCATTTGTCCAAAATATTAAATTACTACATAACTATAGGTCATAAAACGCTATTAAATCACGTTATTAAATGATGAAATTTTCTTGTGGCTTTTAACACGTTTAGTTTCATTTTTGATTTTAGGAAACAGTTTATATTGGGTGGCAAATATGGCTTATAGTTAGGAATAAAACATGCATATATAGTAGGGGGAGGGTCTTTTTAAAAATGAAATAAGCCGTTTTATGCTACAATTTTGGGTTTTTGTGAGATAAAGTATTCAGATGGAGCAAGTCTCAGAAGGAATGTTGAGATTTACTAACATAACTAGGATTTTATAATGTCTCTGTTTGTACTGATTTCCATTAATGCTACTTTACCTTTAGTTTTACAGAATTTAATACAATGTAATAAAGAGCCATATTTACCATTAAAAGAAAAGTGATTAGCTGGCTTCTAGAGCAGGCAGTTAAAGGCTGGTTCCTGATTTTTTAAAAATGTGTGTAGGATACATTATAGCTGACATCACAGCTCTCCCGGCTTCCTCTCCCCGCAATGAAATCTAACTCTGTCTGACATTTCAAATCTTGTAAAGAAATTTTTGTGGCCTGAGTTTGTGTATTTACTGAGGGATGGCCGGCTGGCTGCTCGATCATGAAAAGATGTGGAATTGGCAACTGTGATTCATAAAAAAGGCCTGTCCTTTAAAAAACAAAGGAAATATAAAAATGCCTACAGTTTTCTGTTCTCCTCGGTTATACGGGATGAAATTATGCATGGTTTAAAATTATTTTCATTGAGCTCCTGCTTTCTGTGTACTTACTTTGACAGTTTTTTTTTTTTTTGAATGGCAACTACTCTTTCAAACAGCGATCACTTAAAATTTATGTTCATATTGATACACAATCGATACGCATATTACAGTAGGGAACAGCATAGTCTCACCTTGGGTCTGCAGTGAGGAACCTTAATCCCTCCTTTTTCTTTGGTTTTGTTCTTTTTATCTATATCTAGGAATGAGTTTTCGGCCAGGCTCTCCGAGCTTGTTCTGTTTTTCCCACTGTCACTCGGTACCAGAAGTGGGCATCTACCCCCAAACAGTGTGTTCCTTCATTAGAAGGAGAATAACGTCTTCACGGTGGTATAGAAGTAGCATTAATTCTGGTCTGAGAACCTTTTAAAAAAATGTAAGGCAGTGTAGAGGAAGACTTAATATAAACTCATCTGGTAATTTTATTAGACATATTTTGAAAGAGATCAGTGTATTAGAATAGGGTTGAGGTTTCAGTTCTATTTCTTATTAATGGACTCTTACTATATAATTTGGGGTGGGGTGTATCTAAACAAATTACTTCTGATATGATGGGAACTTACTTATTTTCCTAGGTTAAATATTGGTATGACAGGCAAACCAAAAAGATGATTGTTTCATCTGTTTAACCCTGTCTTCCCCTAAGAAGAAAGTGGTTTGATTTAAAATTTGTTGAGATCCATGACATTTTGCCATTTGTTTTGAAGACTCATTTTGGATGCATTAGTGTAGGAAACTGTATTAGCTTTTTGCAGAGTGCATCTCTTAAATACAGAGAGAGGCTTGCTTTTCTCACTACACTAGCCAGACATCTCTCAGTTAATGGATCTGTGTGCTTTGATCCATATTTGTAGAAAAGGGACTAATATTTCACTTGTGTCACTTTCATTTTGGACTGTGTGTGTATATCTGTAAATTTGATGCTTATATTTAAGTTCAAAAGAACAGTCAATGTGTTACTTAAAGCAACAGATTTATGGAGGCTCAAAATGAATATTAATAAAGCTCATTCCATTAATTTTTTGCAATATTTACATTTTGAAAATGGATGTTACAAAATTTTTACAAAAATGGCATTTTACAATGCTGTTCCTATTTAAGGGGCCAATTCCATGCCCTGGGCCCTGTGGGAGTGGGGTGGTTTCGGTGGTAACCCCTTTTAGAGGTCCCCCTTCCTTCACCGGGAGATTTGTGCAGATTCTCTGTGGGTATGGAAAGTAGCGCCACACACTTGCTCTGTGCTGCTTGAGGCTGAGGAATCCCAAGTCCTCGTTCCCTGTGGTGTGGAGACGTAGCAGGCGGAACTGCTCACCCACCAAGGAGAGAGACGTGCGTGTATATTTATGTGGCATAAATGCAGTTCTGTCGCGCAGTGTCGCTTTTTCCGGTTTGGAGGCTATTTATACCAGGCTAAGTGGCCCTCTTTCGCTTAATAGGATGATTGAATGAATTAATTTTAATCTGAAAACTTGGAATATTTCAGTGACTTTTCCCTCTTAGAAATTTGATGAAAAGAAAATGATTGGTGTATCGTTGCTTAGGTATCATTAAATGCCCACTTATTTTGCCTTATGCTAATATCAGAACAAATGAAATTGTTAATATACATATACATATTTCTGTGTACTTACTTTGTAACTTAACAGTTCACAATAATTGAGTGACTGAGTAAATTTCTTTATCAAAGTAAAGTACGTGTTTCCATGGTAAATTTTCAGCGAATGTGCTGTTGTCAAAATCTAACTTGGAGCAATTCTAAGAAAATGATTTCCTTAGATTTACTTATTTGAATAGGATCCAACAGGCAGTTTTCAAACCCACTTCTGAGAGGACCAGTGCCACAGACATAAGAAGGCTGCCGAGTTTGGCAGATGAACTAATGAGAAAATGAATTTGTTTTTTGAAGGATATTTATTGCTAGGGGAGAGACTTACACCCTAAAATCTTAAGCATGTGTGGTTTACCGGGAGGCCTTCTTAGTTAGATGGCAGCAGAATCTGGAATAGATCTGTTGCAGCCAGACGGCCCATTCGAACTGAAGTAGATTTGGCCCCTGCTCACCAGCTTCTGCGGGAGGCGGCACTTCTCATGGGCTCCTGTGGGCCTTGGTGAGAGGTGGGACTTGGGAAACACACGAGAAGCCGTTCC